AACCCTCCTCTTCTTCTCTGAAGGGCGGTAGTCTGTGTACTGCACAAACTGGCTGTGGCAATCATAGCCCCGCCATGTTGATCTTCTCTGCTCTCTCTGCCTCTGTCGGGCTTGCTCCCGAGCAGCCCTGAGCATGAGAGCCTGCTTGGAGCTGGCTTTGGAGGGCCCTGGAACTGCAGTATTCACTAAGACTTGGTCACAACGTGGAGGACTTGTTCTCTCCCTCTTTCTCTTCCTCAGTGAGCGGTCATAGTCTGTGTACTGCACAAACCGGCTGCGAAGGTTGTAAGTTCCCCGCACAGATCTGCTTGGCTCCCTCTGCCTCAGCAAGGTTTGCTCCTGAGCAGCCCTGGGAGCAGGAGCCCACTGGCAGATCCTCTTGGAAGGCCTTGCAGCTGTGCTATCCCTAGGACCACGGTCACGACTTGGAGGACCAGTTCTTCTCTCTGAAGAGTCATCATAGTCTGTGGTGTCCACAGACCAGCTGCGGAGATCCCAGCCCCACAGAGGGAATCTGCTCCGGGACCGCTCCCTGCCAGTGTACTTCATGCCCTGCAAAGAGACCCGTGGAGAGTTCCTGCCCTTTTCTCCTGAAAGGATCAGAGCAGTGGGGAACCCCTACAAGTTCTGGGACAGGACAGTTTGGGACCTCCAAAAGGCTCTTTTGGAGGCCCCTGACCCACGACCCCAAAGTTACCTTAGTCCTACCAGTCAGACCCTGTGGTCCAACAGAACCCGCCTGCTTGCTGCGGGCCACACACTGACTGAGGAAGGAAGGGGCATGTGATAGTGCCAGTGAGGAAGAAGCCCTTTCTCCAATTCTCAGATCAGAGCATCTGGAGAAAAAAAAAGAGTGATCCCAGTTTAGAGCTGTTGTTGCAACCTCCTCTGGGGTTCAGTCATTTTCTCAGAGAGGTTTCTATGACAGAGAGAAGACTTAATCAAGGACACTAATGGGAAACTCAGCTAGGGTCTTCCCACCAAGTTTGCCTCTGTCCCAACAAAAACCTCATCTCTATACCTCCCACAGCCTCCATTTCATAAATTCACAGATTTGTTTGGGTTGCAAGGGACCTTTAACTTTATCTTGTTCCACCCCGCTGTTGTGGGCAGGAACACCCTCCACTATCCAAGGTTTCTCCAAGCCCTGTCCAACCTGGCCTTGAACACTTCCAGGGATGGGGCACCCACAGATGCTGTGGCAACCTGTGCCAGTGCCTCAGCACCCTTACAGCAAAGAATTCCTTCCCAATATTTAATGTAAACCTGCCCTCTGTTAGCTGAAAACTGATAGCCTTCATCCTGTCACTACATTCCCTGACAAATGGTGCTTCCCCATCTTTCCTGGAGGTCCTTTTTAAGTCCTCTTATCTGCAAGAGTCAACATCAGAGACCAGGCAAGTAGCAGATTACATCCGGGCCGCAGCCTGAAGCCCAGTAAAGGACAGACACGGAGTAGTTCAGATTTGACAGCACTGAATGATGCAGGTAGTAATTTCATTTGATGAGAAAAACACTCAAGAAGGTGAGAAGCACAACTGCAAATGAGGAAAAGGAAATGTATTCTGAACGTATTTGAATCCTGGTTATTACCTGGCATAGAACAGCAGGTAGGCTTGCTGCCTGAGAACTGTGTCAATGGAACGCAGCTCCACAGATTCATCGTCCATCCGGTACCACAATCCATTGCTGGCCTGTAAAAAAAAGGCAAGGATCTCTCCATGGGTTTCTCTCCAAAAACACAGGTAGAAAACTGCCAAACCAAGAGCATGTCAAAACGAATCCAGTCCAGCCGCTAAGGAGGCCTTCTGCCCCAAAACTTTGGCTGTCAGTAACACTGACAGGAAAGTTTATCTTCCCCAGCACACATTTTTCCCCATTGGGAAGGAAGTTGCTCTTTTACCTTTGTGTAGCAGAAATAGTGTCCTCCATGACAGCTGACACCACTGTGCACCAGGACAGCATATAAGGAGTAGAGGAGTGGTTCTCCATCTGCCTGAGACATGTATGGGCGAAGATCCAAGTACTCCGGATAATCTACAACCTATGGAGAGACCAAGAGGGCTCAGAAATGATCCTGGTCTGTGACATGAAATAGCCTACCAAGTGCAAGGGCCAGTCCAGGTGTATCAATACATCTCTGGGGCTCATGAGCACTTGGTTTTCCATAAAGCAACATATAATCGTTTGGGTGGCAGGAAACCGTTCTCAGTCAAAGCAGCCCTATCAGAGCACAGTGCTTGCCTGTCTTCCCACAGGAACTTTCCACTCCCCAGAAGGGACCACAAAAAACCCAATACAAGCAGCTTGTGACAAGCATACTGCTTTAGGAAATCTGCTTCTTGAAGAGAAAGCTGCACACCAGTAGTGTACACACCTTGCTGATCTTCCCGCCAGTGAAGCAGTCAAACCTCTTCAGACACACTGTGAGAACCTTGGGTGCACAGTGGACAGTGAACCTCTTAGTGGCGGCAACATTCTTCTCACACCTTGAAACCAAGCACAGAGCACAGCGCTGAAATGCACCCTATCTTCCACCAAGGCTTTCTTGTCTCGTGCATCCTTATGCTCTTTTAAGGCAATTCAGTGCCATATTTAAAACAAACAAACAAAAAAACCAACCCCCCCCCCCCAAAAACCAGACAAACAAAACTGTGTCTCATTAGTGTGCAGTAAACTTCCATGAGAAGATGACTTCTGCTCAATGACTTGTAGCCCCCTCACACAGAGTCTAGTGTTAATATGTTGTTAGTAAATCATCTTACTTGCTACATTTAAAGCAGTTTTCACCATCCAGGTGCTCAGGTGTTACAAAGTCCTCCAGAGCTGCAGTGAGGGATGAGGCTGCCTGGAGAATCGAGAAATCAGTGCACTGAGCTACAGGAAATGCCCTCGCCCAAACATTTTCCAGGAGCTGACAAGAAAACCTCTGCAGCTGATGCTGAGGAGACCCACCACGAATCTGCAAGCTGTATCCAGAAGGAGCCAGAAAGAGAGTGTGGTGCTGAACATTTCCCCTGTCCCAGAGGTTCTCAGGGGCAATCAAAAGCTCCCTCTCTGTACCACCTCCCATTGAGCTACTGATGTTATGTAGGGTCGTCAGTAGTGAAAACAATCCAACCCATCAGCCTGGAAGCCAGACAGATGTTGAAGGAGGGCAAAGGGAAGAAGGAGGAGGATATGTCAAGGGTGCAGAGAGCATAATGGGTGCTTGTCCAGCTTAAAGCCAGCACCTACAGAGAGACCAGTGCCATGGCCTCTGCAGGAGGACAACATCCGTTCCCCTTCCCATCCACGACCAAGACCTCTTGTGTTCACAGTATATGCTTTCAGGACAAATGTGTTGACTCTGAAAAGCCTTGCGATGTCTTGAAGCACAACTGCAAAACCTCTTACTTTGATATCCAAAGGGACATCCAGGAAGGCCTCATAGGAATCAGAAATGGCTTTGCAGCTGAAGCAGATGACTGGAAGGAAAAATCAAAATGCCGAGCAATGGTGAGTTGAATGATGGTACTGCTTTGTGCTCATTGTACCTGTCCTGCTAGTCCCAGGACCAGCCGTTGGGCACAGGCAGACAGAAGGGCACAGGCAATGCCAAGGAGAGCAATAGTTGTAGAAACATACCTCTGGATCTCAGAAAGCCTCCAAATATTTGATGGACAATGGTAGTAGATTGAGATGATATGTCCAAGCTGGAAACAAGTAGTAAGACAGAGCATTACTTCCTCCAAGCCCCGGCTGTAGGTTTTCCTTGATGAGGCCACATCAAGGAGTCCAAAGGGCTCAGAACTTTGTAAAGGTAACCTGCTTGTGCTTACTCGTTGCTTGCACTCAGACAAGCTCTCTGCATGGCATTGACAGTACAGCATAAGAAGTCATGGGCATCTTCCTCCCTGCCAAGCTGAAAATGTTCTCCTATGACTAAGAAACAGGAAGTTAGTAGTTGTCTCATACAGGAAGGGAAGAAAACCTGTCAAAGAACCTGAAATTACATACATCTGAAACCCCTGAGAACAGCCAAAGGCAGGATGGCACTGACTGAGGAATGCAGGACCTTGTTAACATGCGCTTCCATGGTGCACATCATGCAGAAGCCTTGTTGGCGACCTGAGGAGGGAGGGAGAGAAGGTCCTTTGGTTAGCAAAATATCCATAGTGGTGGAATACTCCTCTTCTTCCACTCCCACTCCAGTGCAATATGCCACTCCTCCCAGTGTTTCAACAAGCACGGGACATTTTAGTGCGTAGAAAATGTTCTTCAGAGGAATGCTAAACTGAGGTTTTAACTTGCAGGAATAGAGACTCAGAGCTAGAAAGATGTGCCTTCATGAAGAATAAGACAGCTGGATAGGACAGGTGGCTCCTGAATGTACAAAGAACACAAGTTCTGGGGCTGACAAAGGGCTGCTTTTCTCCTACATCGAATTTCAGGTTCTGGGAATCCTTGGGATTTGATTAACAGATTTACAAGGAGATGTCCCTAAAAGTACTCACAGGCCTGGCTGTGCTCCCGGGAGAGCAGATAGTTGGCCAGCGGTGGCGTGTATGTCAGGCATTGCAGGACAGCATTAAGGAAGCATGTGTTGCCCATATTGAGGAGTCCTGCTCCAGCACTCTGTCTTTGCTGCCAGACCATGCAAATCTTCTCTGGGGGAAAGAGGATCCTTTGTGGCGGAGTCATTCCCTCGGCAATGACTGCAGGGAAATTCCATTTGAAAAGAGATGAAATGAGGCACAGAGGCATATTTAAACAGTGAGGTTTCTACAGGAGCACTCAGGACCATGTGCTTTAACTTCCAACCCAACAACATCAGGGGAAGCTTAAACAGTGCCATTTAAATTTACTGTTTTGGAAAAATCCGTTCCTCTGTTTACGTTGCTGAGAGTCCCACAAACCCACAATCTGATTTCTGGGCCTCAGGCTACCTTCCTTTCTCAGTAGAGTTCTAGACTGGATTATCAGTGAAACCATCCCTTTTCCTGATTGTAACTTGTTGAAAACAAGTAAATACTGAGCACAGAAGGAAACCCAAAGGATGGTAGACCTCTCTACGAGCAGTGGCAACTTTCAAAGTCTTGTACCTAGTGTCAGAGGAGTGACAAAAGGTGTTTTCCTGGGTCTAATTGTAAACACGGGGGTCAGTTTGACTGCTCTCAGGAAACATCCCAGAGATCACCCTAGGTTGTGAGCACATCATTCTGGGATTTGACCACCAGCCATGTCAGTTGTCTGCAGCAGTTCACAAAGTCCAAACCTGCTGGTGAAGCTATTACTCACAGGAGTCGT